CTTAGTTGCAGCACACTCAAGTGGAATCTTCTAGGGATAAAACCCATGTCCCCCACACTACAAGGCAGATTCTTTCCCACTGAGCCACCAGGGAAGTCCTGCCAAGCCTTCTTAATGACAGTTCCACAAATGTGGCTGGAGCAGTGGGACAGTTGAAGAGACTGGTTGTCCTTCTGGGTCCCTCCGATATTTCGAAGTGTCTCTTCTGATTGACACCGTGAATGGGCATTGCTTCTCTGGCCTGGCCCTGGCTGTCAAGAGGGCATTGCCACTTGGGCAAGGAAATGGAGAGAAGATTTAGTTGCTGTGAAGAAGTAAAGTGTTTTCTTGAGCTCATGAACAGAGCCATGGAAACCATGGGACTCTGCCTGGGACTCTGGAGAGCTTCTAACCAGAGAGGCGGGCCCCTTAAAAGCTGTCACACAGTAGAACGAGATGACCTTTGGTAGACAGGCTGATCGATACAGATGATTGTATTATTGTAGAAAGGCAGGGAGCAGGAGCTCTAGAAAGTTCACTGGGGTCCCTTGGCTGGCCATCTTGGACAGATTCTCACCTGGTTCAGGGAGAGAAATTCCTACTTGTCCTTCTGTGAGTGCTACTAAATGGAAGCAATATTTGGTTAGTCTCTAAGTCATGTCCCACTTTTTTTTGGACTGTAGCCTGCCAGGCTCCTCTGTCGATGGGACTTCCCAGGCAAGAATACTGGAGTAGGTTACCATTTCCTTCTCTAGGAGATCTTCCTGACCCAGGGATCGAACCCATGTCTTGGTTGGCAGGCAGAATTTTTACCTCTGAGGTACCTGAGAAACCCAAGCAGTATTTGAGTTGACCCAAGCCCCATCTCCTACAATTTAGTCTTTCAGGTGACAATAAAACCGTGCCTAGCTCATAAAGACCAGAACCTTCTGATTCTGCTGTGTTAAGAGAACTTGGCACTAGAGTGAACAAAAGGTTTGCTGTTAAAATGGAATATAATGAAATTACAAAATCACTGTAACCACTTTTACTTAGGCAGTCCTGCAGAGGGAAACAAAGCCACTGAAACAGAAAAATGGTTCCCAAAAGCAAATTCAGTTTCCTTTTTGACGATCTGAGAAAGTTGACCACAGTTCCATTCAAAACCTTCAGGCACTTGACTTTTTATATCCTTTACCTTTTTAATAAAAAGTAAAAAACAAACAAAAAAATACATCAATGTCCTGGATAGAACCTCTCTATGTAAAGGTCTCACTAAACAAATAAACATAGGACCAGACAAAAGAAATGGAGCTGCAAATAGCAATATGATATATTATGAAGCATTTATATATGTATGTATATGTTATATATGAATGTGCAGGGTATATGTGTGTGCACCTATGTATGTATAAATATGTAAATATTTGCCTACATATGTCACACACACACACATATATTTATACTGACCTCTTTAGATTGAAGTCCAAGGCACTTTTTACAATGAACAGGTTAAAGCCATTAATTCAGAACATAACTGTTTCTGGGTACATATCAATTTATGGCGCCAATATCACAATTCACATCTTTCCTTGCTTACCTCAGAGTGTCTGGTTGGTGTAATGAATAAGAGACTTGGTTTAAAGAGAGATTAGGAATGTATCCAGACGGTTAAACTAACTTCTCTTGCTAGTTTCCTCTAGGGAGGAGAGTTCCCACTGGTGGGATGCTGAGTTTCTCAAGGAAGGAACACAGATGCAGCTATTTCTGCGTTATGCTGAGCAGGGAGCCAGGTGGCCTTCCAGGGGACCTGGCCCAAGGAACCACCTGATATTCTGATGGCCCTGCCAGCATTCGCTAAAACAAAAACCTTAAAAAGGTGCTTTGAGATGGCTCGAGGCTAGGAAGTGAATACTTTTAAAATAAGACTGGGAAAAGACTGCTTCTTTGTATATACCACTCGAGCTATCTGACCTCAAGAGGAATTTTAAGGTGCATTTGTTTTTATGATCATATGGGACCTTTACTTCATCAAATAATTCTATACGTGAGGGTCAAGGAAGAAATAGTTTAATTTTCTAAATAGTAATGATGTTATTTACCATTGCTGTGTGGTCAGGACAGTGCTTACAATTAATATGTATACCACATGGGGATGTTGTTAAAATGCCTAATGTGATTAAGTAGGTCTGGGATGGGGTGTGAGATTCTGCATTTCTAACAAGTTCCCAAATGATGCTAATGCCGCCGATCTGTGGCCCACACTTTGACTTACAACTGTCAGCATATAGCTATATGCCTGAATTACTGTCCAAAGGTCCCATTTCCCCCAGATCAGGAATTTGTATTGGTTTTCTTAATTCTAGATGGAATAGTAACTTTGAGTAGAAAAATCAGAACACTCTCTATAAACGTAAAAGTCTTAGTCTGAGAACAGCTAGAAGGAAAACCTAAAAGAGACAGTTCTGTTTAGTAGCAGAAAAGTATTATGAGACAAATAAATTACCACCAGTACATTCATCAGTCAATTATGAAATTGAGAATAAGCTAATTTCCATTACCAACCAAGTGAGTGAGTAACTTGCTAAAAACAGGTGCCCTGGAGTTCTGATGGCTTTAATGGAGCTCAGCCAAACATGTCACTGAGGACCAGTATAGAGACTGAGAGAATTCAGCTCAATAAAAATAAAATGTGTGTTCAGGTCCACACTGCTGTATTTAAAATGGATAACTGACCAGGACCAACTGTACAGTACAGGGAACTCTGTTCAATGCTATGTGGAGACCTGGATGGGAAGGAGTTTGGGAGAGAAGGGATACGTGTGTGTGTATGGCCAAGTCCCTTCGCTGTCCCCCTGAAACTATCACAGCATTGTCAACTGGCTATACTCCAGTACAAAATAAAAAGCGTAATGAATAAAAATGAAATAAAATGTGTCTCCATGTTAGGTCTCAGCCACATGAGCAGATTGAAGCTGGGCATTTAGATATTTCTCTTTCGAATGGCATGAATAACATCATTGAGGCCCCAGCCTTACCTGTATTTAAGCTCAAATAAAACGGAAGTGTGAGAGGATTCCAGCCTTTTTCCCAGGAGAAAACCTACTGTTTTGCACTATCAGTATATCTGTGTGAATTTTCAGAGATTGTGAAGGGAAGAGATACCCTCAGTTGAAGAATCCATCCTGATGCTACTTGCTGTGTACCTGTGCAATATTTTACCTATGTGATAACAAGCAAGGGTCCTCCTTGGGAGGAGGCCACTGATTCCAGGAAACCTTCATTCTATGGCCAAATGCATCCTGTTTTCATCTACAAAGAGTCCTGTGGCCAAAGGAGGGAAGTGAGAAATTTTACACATGTGTCTCAACTGCTCTATCAGAGAAGGAAGGACATCGATATCATAGTTGCTGAAGTAGAAAATTTATCACAGTTTTGCCGATAAAGGAAAATATCTTGATGGAAACTCTTTCCTCCCAGCTAAACTAGCAGAAAAGGAAGCCCAGCTCTTTGCATGTCCTGCCTCCTCCCTTCATTCCCTTAGGAGCTGTGTTCCATGTTGTGGTTAAATGTGTGGAAACCTGGCTCCCTCTAGGGCACCGCTGACTCAGAAAAGCATAACTGCCCGCTGGGTTCTCACTGGGCCCCCATGGAAATGAAATTCCAACCCCAGTTATACTCTGACACAGAGAAACTTACAATGCCTAGGATTCTGAATCTTTTGTGTCACAGGAGAACAAGACCCTTCCTTATGCCCCATTCTGCCATTGCCAAAGGAAAAACTGATTGGCTGAGTTTAAGACATATCATTTATGTAATAGGGCCTTTGCATTTAGATAGAAAGAGCCTGCACTTTAATTAAACTGGCTTTGCACAGCTACTAAAGGAGTGATGGCTTTTAAAATCTCTTCTGAAATGGCTTGAAAGAATTTAGGGTAGAATTAGTCTTCTAAGTGGGGTATAACGTTCTTTTATCTCTATTAGTCAGGTCTCAGAATTAGAATATGGCAGTTCAGTAGGCTGAGGACCCTTGTTCTGGGTGTTAGGCAATCACTAATAGTGATGTGTACTCAGAAACAGTCGTTGGGAGAGCAGGTTGACACTGTACCTGCTAAAGACTAGTTTGATACAAAATGTTAATTGAAAGTTACAATATATTTTATAATATAGCAATATATTTCATATTTAAAATAAACTGTTATACTTTCTCCTATCATTAAAAAATAGCAAGCAGTACAGAGGCAAGATGCAAATTCATATTGAAGCTCATCTGATTCTGAATATAAACACATCAGTTTCTGAGTTCGCCATGGATATATTTCCTCCATTGATATCCTGCTGCTCTCTTTTGTTGTTCTCTTCTGGTCAGTGCAGAATGGAGAGTCTGGGACCAATACTGAGTTGTTGCGCCATTAAAAACTGCGTCTGATGAAGGTAGATCAGTCCTGGTTGAGATTCAAAGACTGAGACAATATGATACAGCTAGAGAATGTTGTTTATTCCCTGTCCTTCTTCTATGAACCTTCATGTTGGCTGTTCCGATCAGATCGGTATTTGATTTGTCAAAGAAACTTTTTTTGGCTGTAACTTCAGCATCTCTTTGGGATCTGAACTATAGGTTGGTGTTGAATTTTGTGCTTTTCCTCCATCAGCTTGGTTGGCCACAACGTCTGTTTTGTTTGTCTCAACACATGGTCCAAGCCCAAGAGTACAGCTTCCAGAACATGTTTCTCGGGTGTGTAAACAACTGTGGCAGGGCACTTGGCACCTAGATTTGGAGGTCATACGTTGAAGATTTGATAATGGTTTTGTTCAGAGGGAACTCCAGTTCATATTTGGGCATTTCCAGTAATGGTGTAAGGAAAAAGATCACAGTTATTTTTGTTTCTCTATCTGTATATATTACTATACCATTCCACTGAGAACTTTTTAATAAGCTTCGGTCTATTTTAGTAAAAATCTACATATTACTTGTCTGACAGGAGTTTAGTGTTAATTTCTATTCATGCAGCTTGGCACAAGCTTTCAGGACGAAGAGCAACTCACCTATATTCTACTACCAGAGGCAGACACTTAATATTGCTATCCCTGTAACATTCTTTTTTTAGTGGTTTCAGTGATCCCGTTCCCACAATGTTTACTTTGGCGGCAGTGGAGAAGGAAGGGATACTGTCCAGGGTGTTGTTAAGCCGACCGACTGTAGCGGAAGGATGGGAAGGGAAGAGGCTGTTCCCGCCTACCAGGAAGCCATCAGGTAGCTGTCTAAGGTACTGAAACCGAACACGTGCGGAGTCAATAGGGGCAGCAAAATGACGACTGACAGAGCCTTCATCTGCTTCTAAGCAACATCGAGGGAAGTGGGATGACTGCAGAACTGGGGACATAGTTTACGATTTAAAAGCAGTAACTTTAAAAGAGCAGTAACCTACTGGTAGTGCAATGACTTCATAGTGTCTCAATTTGGTACTGTGATGGGAGCAACATCATGGGTTCTGGAATGAAACACTGATTCTTAATTTGTGGTGCACTGTTTGATGAGGTACACTCTGAAGGAGGAGAGAGGTCTTGGGACTATGTGCTCATCCCATGCTTCTCTCCCTGCTAATTTCATATAGGTCAATAGGTAGGAATTACTTTTTGGTAACTACTGAGTACATTCTGAGGCAACACCAAAGTGTAGACTAGACAGAGTTAGTTTGGACTGGTGTTGTTGACAATAGTGATTCCATTTAAAAAATCTATTGAATACTTCACACTTAAGAATATTAATTGTTATCTTCATTTTAAGTATAGAGAAATTGAGGTCTGAGGTGGTTATATTCATTGGCCAAGGATATGGATCCAATGTTAGATTTTTATTTATTCTGATTCTGTATCTCTAGGTTTATTCTCTTCCATCATGATTTATTCATAAGAAATTATAAAAAATCAAAGGGAATGTATTAAAATCATTATTTCTTCAATATCATTTCTTCCCGGCCTTTAATATACAACAACAGGTTGCGCTTGCTCAACACTTTAGAACTTACTTGGGCATACACTTTCTATACCTTCTCACTTATGAGATTATTGTTACACCACTGGTACTTGCTGAAGTCAGAAGTTAGTGGTGATTCAAGGCCTTACCCTTCTTGCTCTTTTGCATTGTATTATACCTTTCTAGAGATATGATGTCATGAAGTTACATATTATGAGGATGGCAAGAGCAGTTCATAGATACTTTATGATCATTTATCGATGATGATCACACATATGTGGCCTTTGATCCAATGATGCACATTTTCATTTGGACTTCAATCTAAGGAGGGGTGAGCCCCTAGTCTGGTATAACTTACCAACTGATGTTCTGTCCTGAAATTCCACTGAGATTAGTGGTCTTAGGTAATCATATACATCCCTGCCTTTACAGTACATGAAGCTATAATATGGCTTAAGCAATGAGGGGGTGGCTCTATATTTTTAATTCAAGTGTCTAGATATTTTAGGGAATATCAGAGTATACTTTGATCTGACACTGAGTTAACAGAAAGATTATAGGAGGGGCTTGGCCACTGGGTCTGACTTCCAGGAGGGGGAATAACTCAATCAGTTCAGTACTGGGGTGAGGTTACCATAATTAATTGTTTTTTCATATAGCCAACTCTTGTGTAGATAATTAAATCTCCTCTACCACCAAACTTGAAATTACAGGACAAGAAGGTGTGACATGAAAACCCACCTGCCCCCCTTTCCCATCTGACTGTGATGCTGAGGCGCAGTGGACTTAGCTGAAAGATGGGCTGTAGGAAGGAAATGGGTGGGTTACATTCTGGATAATCCATACCTAAGTCATCAAAGGTTGATTGTACTTGCAGGAGAACGGATAACTTTCCCATCTAAAGCTGAAATAGCAGCGCAGAGAAGCAGCGTCCCATTTACCACTGGAGGGTCAACATGTGTATTCAATCTTCTTTTTTTTTTTTTGAAAAGTACTCTTTTCCCAAAGAGAAAAAACATACTTAGCTATTGCACTACCAATAGGTCCAGTCACACTACAAACGCCCGTGTGTTTCTAGGATACCAGTGACTGCTGTTACTGAAAGTATCTCCAGCCACTCTCTTTGCTTGTGTTGCTAGCTTGGTCATTAGGATTTACCCAAGTGAACAGCATTAGTGATGGGTTAAAGAAGAGCCACCCATAGACAACAATGGGTCAGTGACAGTCTGCACATACTTTTTGGCAGGAGGAGTAGCAGTGGAATCTTGCATGCCATTTGTTTGAAATTCAAATTAAATCCCTACATGTGCACATGTGCACACACACACACACCATAGGGCTACCTGGGGAATGGGAAGAGTGACTAGGAATTAAGAATTGAGGGCTGAAGTTTAGGTGATCGAGATTGGCATGCTCAGGTTGACCTGTCAGTGCTTTTCACACTGTGAAATGAACTAATGCCACAAAGAAAACACATGGTTATTTCATCTGCTTATCTGTCTGTTTATACTTTCAGCTGTCACTGAAAACAGGAGCACCATTCTTGGGACATAAAAAAAGATACGGATCTTTTAGATAGTCAATAGGTAAAATAACAAGTAAAAAAAAAAGCCAGCAGTAAGTGTGGCATCTATGGTATACAAAACAACCAAGGAAAATGCTCAAAGGAGTTATTGAGATAAAAATGAGGCCATCAGGGGAAGAGCAATAGCAGTAAAAAAAGATAAAAGAAGAAATTTAACAAGAGACCAGATCTTCTTGAAAGAGTGGGCTTCCTAGGGTTGTCTACCTTTTGCTGTCTGATGATTCCCTTGTCCTTAGAAGACCAGGCCCAGAGCTGTAGAAGTCTCCACAGCTAGACTCTGCTTTCAGAAAGGTGATGATGTCCTGTGATACCCTACAGGACAACCATCCACACCACAAATGACATCCTTCATTTTACCCTAAATAGATGAAATATTCCCTACAGTATCATTTAAGTCCCAACAAGCAGAAGTCAGAGACCTTGGAATGAGAAATGGGATGACTAGTAGAATGGTTTTCACATCACAAGCATTATGTATAGTTAGATGATGGTATGAGAAAAATATCTTGCATCCAGATGCCCTGTGCTCACAATTTCTGTTATACACTGGATCTGGATGTTTCTGAAGCCTCTTGAAGTTGGAGAAGTATTACAATAATTTTTGCACCAAGATAAACGTGGCACAATAGGAATAAGCTACTGACAAATCTATGTCACCTTATCTTACCCACAATGTCCCCTAAGGGCTCCCTTTATCTTCAAAACCTTGCACTTTGACATGGTTTTAGGTCACATAGAAGGGGCCACCTGGGTCACTCATCCTCACTTCTACTCCCAGCTCTCATGTGAGGCCCTTGACACCTTTGTGCTCTTAACATCTGGGGCTGGAAAACTGTTACTGGATAAATATCACTGAATAACCCCCCAGACAACACTTCTATTCACGAAGGTGTCCTGGGGTTGCACCTATTCACACGTGTGTGTGCATGTGTGCACAGATCCTGTTCCCCTGCCCTCATATCCATACACCTGATCATGCACTCCTGTGGAACACAGCTTGTTTGGATACAAGATAAAAACTCTGCAGAAGCTGGTATTTTTAGAAGGTTGCTTATCTCTCCAGAATGTCAATTTTGGCTTGTCATTCATCTCAGAGCAAGCATGGTGTACCCTGTTTTGTATTTGAAGGGACCTGCATCTTCAGTGAAGCTCAGAATGTGGCAACACTGGCAAACCCACTGAACTGACAGCACCCACACCCAGATTCAGACCAACTCAATGTACATTTAGAGAGTGCCTACTGTGTGCAGAGTAAGGTACCAGCTCCCTCTTTGCTTGGGTCAAGTGCAAACAAGAAAAGACCTGGGTTGAATGTGGGATGTGTGTGTGTCTGTGTGTGCATGCACACGCTTGCAAATACATGGGTTTATATGAGTATTAATATTGAATGGAGAGTCTGGCTTTTTATTCATCAATTTTTCTTTCAGTCTAGATTTTATGACTGTGTAAGGGATGGGAGGAAAGAACATCTGTTTTGGCAAGCTGTGGGCAGCTCTCTCTTACTTTTGTCCTCTGGGGGCTTCCTTAGACAAAGGAAAGGAAAGTGGTGGGCTGGAGGACCCCAGGGGTGAGGAACCATCTCCCAAGCCTGATACCACACCCTCCCCGCAGCGGGACCCACCTCCAGGCTGGCTTCACTGTTGGCTCCTTCAGTGCATCTGACCCCCCACCCCTCCCCACGTGAAGACCTGAGATTGAACGTGGATTTCTGTTCTCCACCAACTCTGCAGCAAGGGCCCTGCCAGAGGCGTCGCTTCCTGTCATCTCCTCTTCCTGCTCCCAAGTAGAGGCACCTAAACAGAGATTAGATTTCTGGTTTCAAGGCATATCAAACCAAGCACGCTGAATGAACATGAGTTAGTTAATTAGCTCGGTGTCTCTTCTTTATGATCCCTGGTCTGAAATGTTCCTTGATGGCAAAGTGACCAGGAGAGAGTTGATTTGCATCTTAAGACCTATGGGTAATGCTTCTGGAGTGGGGAGTTTTATTTAGCAACTGCTTGAACTCGTGTATGGGGTCGGGAAGGAGGTGGAGCTGACCCCGATCGGGCTGTCGGAGAGTGGGGTGTGGGTGGTGCCCACCGCCACGCTGACGCCCCGGGCCTCCATGAGGGCAGACAGGATCTGCTGCTGCTGCTGACGCAAGGTGTCGGCGATGAGCAGGGGCAGGGAATTGAAGCTGGCGGTGAGGTGCTCCAGCTTAGACTCCAGGCTGCCGATCTGTTTCTCCAGGTCTTCGCTCCGATCATTGAGCTCTGTGATCAAGTCATACATGACATTCTGCATCTGTTTGGGGAGATGGAGAGGTGAGAGATGGGAAGACAACAGGCCATCACAGGGGAATCTGTGATGAGAAACATGAGATACTCTTCCAGATGACAGTGGAAAGACCACTTTCCAGGGACCAGCTTCCACATCAGCTGGGTCTCCTCTGGCCAAGGATGGAGAAGCCATTTACTTTCTTAAAGACATGGAGGCTCCAGTGGCACAGTGGTTTTTATGTTGTTATTGTTTTATTACAAAAACAATGCATATTACCTGTAAAAATATATTAGAAAATAGGTAGGATGGAAAAGCAGCAGCACTTCTGAAATAGAACAAGTCCCTAATGTATCCTCAGTTTCCTACTGCATCCAACCTCTCAGCTCATGCAGCAATGACACCTACTGATTAAAAAGAGACGGCTCTGAGGCAGGGAGTGGACAATGCAATAGACTAATCATTGGGAGGCCAGGGTTCAAGTACCTGTATGCTGCTCACTAACAATGCGCCTTCCCTCAGGTCCCTTAAACTCTCTGAACCTCGGTTTCCTTACAAAATAGAAGTTAATAATAACTACACATGGTAATGAAGTCATTGCTCCGCCCACCGCTCACTTTCAACACAGCAGCCAGAATGTACGATTATCTGATGAAACTCACTCTGGCCTGGGTTGCAGTGAAAGGGAGCTGCCTTGCAGAGATTATAGCGCCTCTCCTTCCTGGTCAAGAAGGGACATCGCCTCAGTGTGGGACACCCCTGAAGGGCCAGTCCACCTTGGGAAATCTCGTGGGCCGGTCGAGGACTTTGCCTACTGTATCATGTTTCAGACTCTGTTTCTGCCACGTTCTGCTGTCCCACCTCTCTCTGACAGGTACGGTCCTGACACTGCCCCCCAGTAAACATCCTGCTCTCCTGCTATCTCCCAGGGTTCCAGGGACCCGCCCATCACCAGTACTCACCCCACACACATCCCATGGCCGACAGCCTCACCGCCTCTAAACCTCCCTGAAAAATCACCTCCCCAGAGAAGGAAAGGGTCAGACCAACTAAGAGAGTAGCACTGACATATATATACTACCATGCTTAAAGCAGATAGCTAGTGGGAAGCTGCTCTATAGCACAGCTCATATTGGTGCTCTGTGATGACCTAGAGGGGTGGGATGGGGGCAGGAGGGGGGCTCTAAAGGGAGGGGATATGTGTATACATATGACTGATTCACATTGCTGTACAGCAGAAATTAACATTGTAAAGCAAGTAGACTCCAATTAAAAAAAAAATCCCCTCCCCTCCCCGACGCCCTTGTTAATAAGGCACCTTGTCCTCACTCCACTCCTGACCTGCTAACCCTGCTCAGTGCTCTCCTTTCTTTGAAGCTGTCTTCTAATACACTAACTATCTGCTGTTTCTTTTGCATATTGTTGTTGTCTGTCCTCTCCTACTAGAAGGAAATCCCCTCCAGGGTGGGGACCTTTGCCTGTTGTGTTCACTGATGTGTCCCAAGGACTTAAAATAGTATCTGGCACATAGGAGATGCTCAGCTAACATTTTTTGATGAATAAATATTCATAGATGTGCCTAGCAAGGGGGTCTGTTGCACATGGTTAGCACCAAAAGCTGTTTGTAGAACTAATGAATGAATGAAGTGCTGTCTCAAGGGAAAACCTCTGCCCTTCCATTCTTCAGCCAACGTAAAAGTTTAACTGATGGGAAAAGACCTCTTGTACCACAAGTTATTTCCATATAACTAGAAGATTTCCCAGTGTTTCCTGCTGAGACCTGAGTGGCTGAAGGAAAGGAGAAAAGAGTCCCGTGGGGGCCCAGCTCAGGGCCCGCCTCTGGAGAGCAGGTGCTCAGTAAGTTTTGTGAATGAACACTGAACGAGGTCTTGAGAGCAGGAGAGCAAACATGGGGTACCTCCAGGGAACTGCAAATAAAATACAACTTGAGAGTAATAAACTTGTCTTCTCGAGCCCGAAGTATAAACCAGGTCAGCAGAGTACTAAACAAATGCAACTCATGCCAAGTGCTCCGTCTTCCACTCTCCCTCCATTCTCTGCCAGCGCTCCTTATCTCCAGGAGAGGCCGTTCACTCAAGCTGTTCCCACCTGAAACCTGGGCACCATCCTCTCCCGGCCCCCCTCTCACCAGTACAGAGTCCTGCCTACTATACATCTAATGATCCCTCAAGTTCAACTCATTTAATTGAAATGAAACCACTTTTGTTCCATTCAGTACCACCAAGGTTCTGACTCTACTCTTATCAGGCAACTTTTGGGTTAAAATTTGGCTTCCTGGGTTGGTCTGTAGGGACTTTATCAACATGACAGTCACATTTCTCCCTGCAAATTAACAAATGGCATCAGACTTGGGAGCAAGATTCTTGGGAGACTTCAGGAACACAATGTCGGGTGTTTCTGTGGCTGCAAGGGCAGAGCCGGGTTTGCGGCTGCTTTGTACCCTCCAGCCCTCACCTGCAGGTACTGTGGCTCTGGTCATTTGCCAGTGACACTCTGATCCTGTTTCACCTGAAATTTCAAGTTACTCCAGGAAGATGCAGAAACCATGGGGGCAGGCAGGGGCCAAGGGAGTAGGAAGTGAGGCAAATGAAAAAAAAAGAGTTAGAGGTGGCAAAATGTGAGAAGCCAGAGGGGAGATAGGAGAAGGGGGGTTGAGAATGTAGTGATACCTTCCCAGGGTTTCCCTGGTGGCACACGGTAAAGAACCCCCCTGCCAATGCAGGAGGTGCAGGAGAAGTGGGTTCAATCCCTGGGTCGGGAAGATCCCCTGGAGGAGGAAATGGCAACCCCGTCCGGTATTCTTGCATGGGAGACCTCATGAACAGAAGAGCCTGGAGGGCTACGGTCCATGGAGTTGCAGAGTCAGACATGACTGAGCAACTAAGCACGCACGCACGATACCTTCCCCCCAGGAAACTGGCTGCAGCCCCAGAAGGAATGAGGCAGCTGTGACTTCTCCAGGGCAGGACTCCACTGTGGCCCTTTCAGAGGAGAGGGTGAGTTTAGGGGTGGCAGTGCTTCCTTCATTCATTAACATTCATAGAAGCTCCTCAAGGTGCATGTTCTTCCTGGAATGCACAAAACCTTAAATGGATTTGCCTGCAGGGGCACCCTGACAAGTTCTGGACTGAGTCTGGGCCCCTGGGTCTCTGCCCCAGCGTGGCAGCTTGCCAACAGACCAAACTTGGGATGGTCATCAGAACTATCACGTGCAGAACCATTATAGTTTTCGGAGCATTTTCACAGATATCACCTTATCTGATCAGTTGAGCCTCAGATGTGAGGAAGAATTTTTACATCTCAATGGAAGACACTGAGGCTAGGTATAAAGAGCCCCAGCACACACACCCCTCCCAGGCCCCCAAGCTCTGCCACCCTACAAGACAGCTCTTCCATAGAGCAAGTGTTATTTGGAGGCCACACGCTCTTTTCTTAATCTTGAGAGGGCCACAGGACAGGGGTGGGAAGTGGTTAGCTGGCCGGACGAAGCACAGAGAGAAAAGGAGAGAACACCGTGTTATTATTGTCTCCCCTGTTTTGTTGCTTGGCGACAAGATGCCAGGGGGGAACGCAGACCAGTGTGAAAGATGCTAGGCTGCTGCCAGGACCTTGGCTGAGCCTCCTGAGAGGAAAGATGAAGTGTGGCAGAGTTCACACCACCCCTGCAACCCAGCAGACACCTTCCCTTAACCCTTTCCTCCACACCCTTTCTTTCCAGTTAGTGATGGTTTAGTTTCCCCACCCAGTTTCTGTGAGCCTCTTTCCAATTCATGGAGTTTGCTCCACCCAGTCTGATCTGCAGGGGGCCCCGTCTCTGTGATAGGCAGTGACTGACAATGAAGAAATGCAGGCTTGAAAGTCCAGGCTGTCCACTATTTCCAGGAGAACTCCAGCCACCGAGTGTCCTGCCAGGTGACAGAGAAGGCAGAAATATGGCTACCTGTTAAAGAAATATCTTGGGGCTTGGTGGACCATTCCTGCATCCCCCACCATGGGTTTCCCAGCAATGTTTGCCTTACCTGACCCTCCTCCTGGCTTCAGGTGATTGGTCCGAGGGTAGACCTGTGACCCAAACTGGCCAGTCAGCTCATCCCTTTTGAGAATTTAGAATGAAGACCAATAGGAGGCCAGTCAATTTGTCTTTGCCTGTGGCTAGAACTAGAACATGGACTCTGGATAGAGGCCTGCCATGGAGACAAGGGGCATAGACAGTTGTCAGGAGATGCGGGAGACGAAGAGAGAGAGAACTGATGCAGGCACTTGGACATGAGAGAGAAGAGAGGGTGGGCACCTATTTCCTGGGGTGAGGTCCACTTCTAGTTAGTTCCTTGCTAAAGTCTGACCACATGCCTGCCCTGAGGTTCTGCCTGGAATGAGACTTCCTTGTATTCTTAAACACCTACATTTTTAAACCTACTTCCAAAGGGTTTCTGATACTAGAAGCCAGGAGTGTTGAGCAATGCACGCTAGACCCTGGTGAGGGGTTCCCTTCTGCATTCGGTCATCCCATTCACATCCTTGCCTCCTCCAGGCTCGCAGGAAACCTCAGTCTACCTCAGCACCCCCTGCAAAGACAAACAGGCCTGTGGGCTTCTCCCAACCCATGCCAGCCACACATTCCCTGATTAAAGTCCTCCCAAGCTTGGGAGATCCTTTCTCTGGCCTGATCCCTTCACTGAACAAGGCACTGCATGTGGCCCAGGAACCGGCAATTTCTCTGATTACACCCTCTTTTCAAAGGGGGTTTAATTTGCCTGAGGGAGTTTCTCTTGCTTACTCAGGGAACGTGTTCCGTGATGATAATTGACATCTGCTGGAATGTTCTACCAGCCTGGCCCTGGGCTATACACTTGACATACAATTTCTATCAAGAGGCAATGAGGAGGAGGAGCTGAGGAGGGGTCAGGTCCTTTCTTCAGCAGTGCCCACACTCAGTTCTGCCAGCGGTGCAGCCTCCGCTTCTTTCACTCCAGAGATTCACAAAAGGAGCAAGTTTCTTTATAGTATTTGCGGCAGTTCAGGGCCAGAAATGCAGAATGATTGTAGGGCTCTGAAAGGAGGGCTCTCTTCTTTGGCATCTTCGTGAGGTAGAAAGATATGCACCTCCCCCCTCCTCCTGACTGGGGGCCAGAAAAGCCGAGTCGTAAGGACTGAAGGATGCAGGAAAATGAGCTTACAATTATAACCACAAATCAGAAGGATCCTTCTAAGTGTGGCCTAGACGAGCAGCATCACCATCATCACCATTTGGCCTTGTCATTGTGCTTCACCCTGTGCAAACTCAGTATACAGCGAATCAAGCAACACACTAAACAGACTCAGCAGGCCAGTCAATCAATTCCCAGCAAAGCCTGACCTGAGCGATAGAATTGAAGAAACACATGCCAGGTTTTCAAAGTCAATAACACACACTAGTAGCTTGCAAATGTCCAGAACTTGAACTTAGATTATTTTTTAAGGAAGGAGGAAGTGGCCTTAACTTTCCTGGTCCTCCTCTGTCCAGTTTAGCCATGGCCACTTCTTCACAGCCACACCTGAGGAAATGAAAGGCCAACATCTGAGAACCCTTTATGGGGTCTTTGGATTCTGCCACTCACCTTGGAAAGGTCCACCAGGGTGTTCGCTTGGTCACTCAGCTTCCTCTGCTCCATCTTGACGCTCCTCAGTCTGTGAGAAAGAGTCGTTAAGAGCCATACTCTTCAAGTGCATGCTGGGTTCAACCCCCACCAGCTGATTCCATATCCATGTCAATCCATCTGGTTTTGGAACCCAGCCCAGGACCACAAACATGGGTGACAAATGACCAGAATCAAGGGCTTGGCAGGTCCCCAAGAAAGCAAACTTATCTCCATGCGTGCTTGCCTCTAGTCACTATAGGTTGCCCACCACTCTCAGATCATGTCCCAGCTTCCATGCCTTTATCAAGGCTGTGCCTTCCACCTTTAAGGTCTTATGCTCAGCCTTTCAGGGTTTCCTGAAACTTCCAGGTCAGACTAAATGTTTTCATCCTCTACTTTTAAAAATCCACTGTATTTTTAAAAATACTTAGCTTATAGAAACGGAGAAGGCAATGGCACCCCACTCCAGTACTCTTGCCTGGAAAGTCCCATGGATGGTGGGCTGCCGTCTATGGGGTCACACAGAGTCAGACACGACTGAAGCGACTTAGCAGCAGCAGCAGCAGCTTATAGAAAACACTGATCACAATTTGTTCTGCTTCCAGTTGTAATGTGATGTATGTGTGTGTATGTAGACTCTGAGAGCTCCCTGAGGCTCTTATCTAATTTTTGCCTTCCATGGCAGCCTGTCCAATGTCTTGCAGTGACAGGCGCAATAAATGAATAAACAGACTGATCTGGATCCAGTTCACCACCCCCTGTGCTTGTTGAGTGAAAGAGGTTTCTCCCGCTCTTCTAAGTATATGAGAAGAGACCGGTGGGGCTCTGGGGCGCCCACCACTTCTCACTTGGTCATCTGGTGGCCTGGCTGCCCTGGCTTACTCACTGGTGGATAGCCTGGAGAAACTTTCTCTGGTGCTTCCTGACTTTGGCGTGGTCGATCTTCTTTAGCAGCTTCGTGTGTTTATAGATTAGCCACGTTTCCCGAAGGACATTGGCTGCAGCATTCTTGATCTAAGGAAAAGTAAATAAGCAGGTTACTATCAGGTGAGTTTTCCTAGGTTCACATGACATGTTTTGGGGGGGGGGGGGCGGTCTGCCGATAGAGTCGATTTGGCAAGGAAATGAGTCTGCAATGATCTTTTTCCTTAATCAAATCGTGAACTCTTAGAAAGGATGATGAAAATTCATCTCTCATTAATCCTGTATTGGACACGGTAGACTGGAGGCTGAAGTTGAGGAGTGCCTCTTTCTCTTTCTTAATTATTTTGGGACTACCTCTCCACTGCTGTTGCTATATTTAGATAGGCTGCCTTACCGAGACCTGGCGGCCTGGGGTACACTTTGCATAGATAAATATGTACCACTGCTGCCCTTGGATGCAGAGTTCCATGCTCTACATGGGGTTTTTATTTAGTGCACATGATACATTTCTTGGATTCCGAGAGTAAACAGATTTCCTATCAGCTAGAGATTGTATTTATTTAAAAATTGTTTAAAATTAAACTAAAATTTATTTTTAAAAATGTAAAGGTTACTTTCCACTTACAGTTATTACAAAATATTAGTTATACTCCCCATGTTGCCCTGTATATCCCTGAGCCTGTCTTACACTCAGTAGTCTGTATCTCCACTTCCCGGCCCCTATGTCACCCCTCCCGCCTCCCCACTGGGGACCACTAATTTGTTCTCTTTATCTGTGAGTCTGCTTTTTTTGGGTTATATTCACTAGTTTGTTGTCTTTTTGAGATTCCATGTGTAAGTGACATCATACGGTGTTTGTCTTTCTCTGTCTGACTTATTTCACTTCAGCTGGAGATTTTACCAGGCCTCTTTGAGGAAATCTTTCCCACCAAATGGAGCTCTAGGTATCAACAAGTCCATTATTTCCTTTCCCAAATGGCCCAAAACAGTTACACTGCAACTTTACATATAAGTATAATTGGCATAAAACTGACATCATTTCCAAGAAGGGTCTGCAAATCAGTGAAGATATTTTGGTGTGAAACCAGAGCTGCTTCCTTCCGCAGGCTGGCTCCTTCTCTGCACTGCAATCACACATTTCCACATATGACGCTGTCATCTGTTGACATGGAAACCACTGATATCATCCAGCTCACGATGGAACTGAGACATATCAATGGCATCCAGATGGCAGGGGACAAAGTTTTAATCCAAACACAGACATCTTCAGCAATTAGTAACAAGAGCAAGAGGAAACATTTCTTATTAAGCACAAGCTAAACAGATTTTTGATGAACTGTTCTCATTTCTATCAGCCATGCACATTGGCACAGGCCCATAGGCCCAGGGCCTGGAAGTAAGTAGGCCAGCCTAGTAGAAATCAGGTTACTAGCCAGAAAAGATTTTAATAAAATTGGAGAGTACAGGCCTGCTTCTTCAGACTGACATCAACAGATGGGACGTTGTTAAAATACTGAGACGTGTGGGAAGGCCTAGGAAACATTGTTTTGTAGGCTGATAACTTTTGTGTGTGTTTTAAAAATTTATTACGAAGGCTGGATTATATTTTTCATTGGCGCTGAAGTGATGTTCTAAAAGAACAGCTAGGTCTTCTCAGAAATGTCTAAGTGACATAAATACTGCTTTTCTGCTCAGTAAAATTCTACCATGAAAATGGTTTTAAATGACTTAATTGCCCACCTCTGGCACTTTCTTGCCTGAGAGGAAGCAGGTGGTGGTGAGTAGAAGCTGAAAACGGTGAGTGTCCAGGTGAGGAGGGGGGAGGAAGAGGAGGGGGTCATCATGGGGGTTCTGTCCAGGGGCTAGAGTGGACGTCAGCCTCCTGGCAAAACAGGCAGCATAGAGGGGAAGGTCCTCTGTCTGTGGAGGGCATCCTCTCACCGCCCTTCTGTAGGAAGAGAGCAACTTGACAGGTGATTTCTTCAGTTTTCCTAGGTGTATAGCCTCCGAGGAGAGCCTCCCAGAAGACTAGCAGGGAAAACCCCAGCATTTAGGGTGACTGGCAGAGCCCCAGCTATTCAAGTCTCATCCCTGGAACACTGATAAAGGCACGGAACATCAGTGTGGGCGAGCCCCTGACAATGGTCTCTGTGTTGGTGGGGAACCAGTACTGGAAATTGGAAAACCTGCAGTAAATCCTTGTTCTGACAGTTTAGGAGTAAGTGCTTAATTATCCATAAGATGGGAAAAATAAATCCTTACCTTAAGGGTTGTTTTGAGGCCCCTAGGAGGCAATTACCATGGAGCTGATGGTGCTGAGTGAACATTTACCAGGCACCAGATTACATATGTGCAAATGCATTTAATCTTCGCAACAACCCTCTCAGGCAGGTACTCATATTATCCCCATTTTACAGATGAAGAAACAGAGACACAGACCAAGACCTTAAAGTTATAAATGGCAAACTGAGCCAATGTGAATTTAAGTGTTATAGAAACTATGAAGTACCATAAAGATGTTAGTTATCATCATCTGGCCCAAATCCTCTCTGAGAATATGAGGAAATGGCAGTTTCAGAGATAGGATGTAAGGATCAGAATCCCACAGCTAGCTAATGGCAGAGTCAAAACAAGACCCACGTCCAAAAAAGAGCATAAGGTTTTCATGTGGTCTGAAGAAAGACCTGACAAGATGTCATCTCTACACAAACAAAATTATTTCCTGTTTTCCAGGATCAAGGAACTGGGAAGGACATTAGATTTGTTTTTAATCATCACGGCCCTCATTTAGCAATATGACAGAACAGGGAGTCCAGGTCCCGCACTTAACTTCAGCCCAAATATAAGATACTAAAACCACAGCACAGCCTGGGTAGCTGAGTGAAGCAGTCACAGCGTCTTTATGGGTTTGAACAGGAGGCCCCCGCATATTCGGGAAAGCGATGTTAAATGCGAGCCTTGGTGCTGACTCTGAATTAATTGTCAGCAAACAGCCTGGCACAAAGCTAAGTAGATCAATATCTGCAAGAGAAAAAGAAATAGGCTTTTAACTGCACTGTGCTTTCCCAAGTTGACAGTAAATGCTATTGTGACCAGGTTCTCCCTCCAATTCACCTGGCTGATTGCTTTGGGCATCACTGGGGTGGGAAACGTAGAGGTCGTGTGCGCCTCCTGGGATTCACTGAGCGCCACAGGGTTCCCAAGCACTGTTTCATGATAGGGGTTTGGGTACCTACTGAGCTCTCCTGATGGGCAGGGGCATCAGGGCCCAAAGATACTCTTGGGGGTGAGAGTGGGTGGGTCAGGGAACTGGGAAGGTCTGGGTAAGCTTGGCCATGATCTGATGGACTCAGGAATAGTTAGAAGAGGGCTGTTTGTGCATGGAAGACTGGATGGAACAGCCAGTCAAATCCATAGCACATGAGCTAATTGTTTCTGTGGGTCCCTTCATTCTCTCCCCAAAACTGTGTGCTTTCACTCTGATGGTGGCCAGAGAAAAGGCTCAGTGACTTATGTACTTCAGGGAGGGCTCAAAGATTGAGGGGCCTGGGCAAGAAAGTTGTACAACTAAGATCTTGCATACAGTACTGACAGTTAACATCCACTGAGTGCTTCCTTTGTGCTCAACACTTTATGTTTACGTTGCTCCACTGGCCCTCGGAAAAACCTCACAAGGGGATGAATGAATGATCACCTTCACTTCGGACCAGTTGGGAAGGCTCTCTGAGACTCAGTTTTCTTATTCATTCTTTCCCAAATCATTTACCACACGCCAAAGATGGGGCTGATACTGTTCTAGGAAGTGAGAATCCTGGGAGGCACAAACCAATAACCTTTCTGCCCTCAGGGACCTTCTAATCCTGTGGGGCCAGCATGCCCTGTAGCTGCAGCAAAGAAGGGTGCTACAGGGTAATGTTGAGTTCTGACCTGTGAAACGGGGTTGCAGGGTTGATTCAATGAGAATGTACTTCAAACACTTAGCACAGAGTCTGGGTGCCCAGCACCTTAGTACCTGGTGCCTTACTGATGCTCTTCCCCTGCAACAAATGTCAGCTTCTTCCTCCACCTCCAGCGAAAGAAAATACAGAACATATATGTCTGTTCCTTGAGCTCTTGGCTGTATTATACATGTCCATGACTTGCTCTGGCCGCCTCTCTGCAGGGTAATCTGCTCCTCTGTGTTATGCAGGAAAGGGGCTGGTTGTTGCAGGAGGAACATGTGAGGCAGGAGGAGAAGCACCCTTCTTGCCTGCCTCCCCATGCTTCCAGCAGCCACGGAGTCCTGGGAGAGTAATTCCAGGAGCCCTACTTGTGGGTCCCCCAGAGAAGAAATACTAGCATGCCCACAATGCTGCCAGCACTCCATCCCAGGGTGAGGGTGTTTGCTCCTGGGGGATGGAGAAGGGGGGAAAGGAGGAAGGGAGGAGGGCAGATCAGGCCTGGCAAGAAGGTGTGACTTGGACAACTTCAAGAAGTTCTAGAGGTTGAATGTAGATGAATAAACCTGAAGGGATGGTAATATCACAGTCTGAGAGCCCTCAGGTCAGGCCTGTCTTCATGACGCTCCACTGAAATTGTCTGTCATGCCTGGACATCGCCTCTTCTCCATCTGCCACCCTGACTCTCCAGCCCACAACCACACTAGCTGCTGGCATCCTGCGGCCGCCATCTCTCTCCTTTCCCTCCTCACGCTGTCCCTCCTTCCTCCCCCATCTTGTTCCACATTCCTTTTTCAGGCTCCTCTGCCTGCCTCGCTCAGAAGCTCTCACTGAACACTAAGAAATGGGGCTCCTGTGGCTGGCAGGACACTGGGGCTGGGAGCAGGCAGGGCTGTGCTTCCACGTTGGAAGCTGGCGTCTGGTCTTTCCCCAGAGCAACATGGTCCTGAATCTGTGGATTCAGGAGGCTAGTTCCACCATAATGCTATTAATGTGATGCTCAGCTTGTTTGGAGGTAAACTGGCTTTTTCTTCCAGCAGACCTGGGACCCTCACCACTATTCTGAATTCCAAGGAGCTAACTGTTCTGGGAAACCCACTGGGTTATGGCTGGAGAGCTGCCTACCAGCCTGAGAACAAACGGCAGCCCTGGCTGGGACCCAACTCATTGCATATGGCTGGGGGGCCCCCTCGCCTATCTCTGGGCCTGTGAGGCTCATCCCTAAGAACCTTCCAGCTCAGAAACTCAATGTTCCTATGACTATTGTTAAAGAAAACCTGTACCCAATCTGTCTGGGACAGAACTTTAGTGGGTGATATAATTTATAATTCCCTTCTGGGGACAATTAGCATTCCTGATAACTGCTCAATTGATTATCTGACAAATTCTTAAAAGATTAAGACTTGTTCTGGGAATCTACTTGTGGGTCCTACCAGCTGTCAGCCAGTAATCTAGTGTCCTTTAGCCAAATTTTCTGTACCCAGTATAACAATGACTACTATTGTTTCTTCCAATGAAAGACCCCTTCTATGAGTAAACCTTTGAATTAGCCTGCTGGAAAAAAAAACATTTTTTTCCTCAGCAGGATTGTGATAAAACTTTGACATATGCTTGTAATTAAAGGAAAGTTTTCTTTAGCACTGATCAGTAGGTTCTGGGGGGCTAAGAAAGGTTTTTGAGCAGGTTGGTGGCATGTGCAGAGCTAAGTCTCAGCATCTAAGAAGAGTCACAAGGATAAAGTACAGGATGACTTGGGCAAGGGAGGTCCAGGTGAGATGAGAAGGCAGCAAGCAACTGAAATGGCACAAGATTGAGATGGTGGCTTGAAGTATGGTGGGCAGAGGACCTGGAGAGGCTGGTTTGGCCAGATGGAATCAGACTCCGAAGCTGTTTGGAGCCCTGTGAGTACCAGGGCAGAGAGGAGTCAGAGATGCTGCTAAATTTTCAGACCTGGAGACTGGAAGAATGATGATGTCATTAACAGGGATGTCAGGAAAAACACTCATTTTAGGAAGATACAGGTTTGGTTTTTGTCTTACCCATTGATTGCAGGGGGAAATGAACTTGGATGAAGTATTTGAGGCAGGAACCCTTCAAGGGAAGAATGAAGAGATAACAGTCCTTAGCCAGTGGCAGCACACCATGGAGGTATCTGCAGATTTGCTGTGGAGAGTGGGCGTGGCAAACAGAACATCTCCTGGTACCTCTTAAGCCAAGTGTGTACATGGGCAGCTACCTTGCTCTTTAGAAAGGAGAGGTGCTCTTTGAGGACAGGCAGTAAGTATGAGGGCAGGGACTATCTCCTATTCATCTCGGTGTCCCCAGAACACAGGGTGTGGTATCCAGCTGCAATGGATGTGTTTCATTGCATAAAATAGAGACACAGGGATGTGTAGTGTTGCATGGGAGAAAAGATGAGGATCTAGTATCTTTTTTATAGTCTCTCTCTGTGTAATTTACATATATATTATCTAGTAGCCCAGAGGTTAGCAGTAAATTGTAATTCGAGATTAACAATGGCAGTAACACTGCCAAGTCCATGTGGGAAGATCTGACTGCATTAAATACAGAAATGATGTTGCCGCCAGGGTCGACAAGTTATACAAGTGAGAGGAGAAAAGTCACGTGAGTCAGAAAACCAGAAACTTAGTTTGGACCCTGTGCTATCAGACCACCACCCTACCTGCCCCCACCTCCCTGGGAAATAAATGAATAAAAATAGTGTGACTCTAATGGTAAAGGCTGGGCTGAAGACTTTATTACCAATAAAGACTAGAACAATTTGAATACTTTAATGATTAATAGGTTAGAATTCCTCTTTTTCATTTTTTGCTTAGATGTTTGAAGAATTAAGGCTGTGTGTATTTGTGAGAGATGGCTTTTATCTGTTAAATCTGCTAATTGTCCACTCTTGGGAGGTTTGCAATTATGCCCCAATGAGCTCCTCCCACGATCAGATCTTTCTCTGTGAATTCACTGAGATCTTATGAGTAGACTAAGCTTAGCATCTGTTTGACCCATGAGCCACTCCGTCTGGACACAGAGGGCCATTTGGAGAAGACGGAGGATGGATGAGGCATCACCAGGGGAAGGAAGGTGGGCTTCTCTGAGACCAGGTGAAGGGGAGCTAAAGCCAGAGCAGGCCAAGCTCACAGCCAGTGTCCTTTCAATCAAGGTTATGTAAAAAAACCTTTCCAGTCCTGCCAGTTTTGAGAATCCTCTCTGTGTGAGAACCATCCCTTTCGTGTTGGATGTTTCTCTGAGAAAGAGATATTAGACATTAAAGGAACATTTCAACAGATTTAAGTGTTCTCAGACAAGTGAGATGTTATTTGATTAAAAAGGTGCCTTGTACTCATAGATGGGCAACAAATATTTGTTGATTTGGTTTTCAGTCCTACTTTTCAAAAAGTAGATTTGAGAAGGATTTTAGAGAATTTGTTTGAAAGAAAGACTGAAATTAGCCACCACAACCTCATCTTCTACAATCATAGTGCAGAAAAATTGTTTATTTTCTTGTCATAGGAGGGAGCTGGCTTTCTTCAACTTTATTTTCCTCTAGTGTCTGATTCAAAGGGTGAAAAATGAAGAGGACAAAGGAATAACGTGAAATACAAAGTATATCCTTGGTTTCAAAAGCAAATAGAATAAACAGAGAGGCTGTTAGTGTCTGTGCTCTAAGAAACAGCTTCTGAGAAGGTTTTGGGGGCCAAATACCCTTGTCCTTGACTCTTGCACTACATTGTTCCAGGAGAATAGAGGGAAATATATTTGCGGCTCAGACGGTAAAGAATTGGCCTGCAATGCAGAAGACCTGGGTTCAGTCCCTGGCTTGGGAAGATCCCCTGGAGAAGGAAATGGCCACCCAGTCCCGTATGCTTGCCTGGAGAATTCCATGGACAGAGGAGTCTCACAGGCTATAGTCCCTGGGGTAGCAAAGAGTCAGACACCACTGAGTGATTATTTTTTTCCCCAATAACTTTGATAATTTGCTCAATTCCTAGCATGACTTCTACATGCATAGTAGGGGCTGAAGGAAAGCAGCTGGGCTGCAGGGCCTTGGATGGAACCCGGCTGGCCTACCATGGGTATAGCCCTCAATGCGGCCATCTCGATGCTACGGACTGAGCTTTCTTTTGTACCACAGACAGCTCAGTGCCATAATGCGCCATATATAACCACCTGTATGTCAACCACAGAAGAATATCTGCCTGTACGTTTTCTTCTTAACATCTTTAAAAAGGCTTGTTAAAGAACCCAATGCATGTAATCAAAGACCAAACAGTCAAACACCATAAAGAATTCTGCTGAGAGACTGGAGAGGCCTTGGCAACTTCGCCCTCCGCCACTGCCTCCCTCCCGAGCGCACCCCCCTCTGTCACTCTCCCTCTCTTTTTTCCCCTCCCTTCCTGCCTTTGTGTCTATTTCGAACACATTTTTACTGTGCCACAGCATTCATCACTGAATATTTTCTCCAGCTTTCAAAAACCCCAATCAACATCTGGCTGCTCATGGGTCTCCCAGCCCCATTTTAATCCTAAATGAGAAAGACTTGCTAGGGTGGCCAAGACCCCAGCACAGGTTTTTGCTCCTCTCTCACTTTGGAAAGAGGAGAGTTTTTGCAGGAAATCATATTCCTGACCTTCGCTCAGCCTGCAGCTCTAAAGAATTTTCCATAAAAGCTGTCATTAAATAAACAGCTCCTGCCTTGCTCATTTGGCCTGCTCTTATCCTGGAAGGCTTGCTTCTGTCTCTTCTAAAGGGGCCTTTTCTTTTCTGACAATCCAGTGGGATGTCAGATTTTTAGCAGCTAAATGATCTCCCCCATTCCTGCTTAATCAGTTTTTAACCCTCCTTACCCACTTCCCTAAGGACACAAGGGAGAAACACTATTTGGAAACCCCAAAAGGGGAAAATTGGATGATGATATTTTGATGAACATTATTTAGGAGTGATTGTTTGTAATGATTTTTTTTAGGGGTTGAATTTAGATACATTTCCAATATCATTTTAAAGACTTTCTACTGCCCTGGCTAATGAGAATCATGAAAATATTTAAGCAGAAACCAAAACATCTCATGCTGGGTGATTTACTTGGTACCATTAGGCAAGGGAGTAGGTTACATCATTGTAGGCTATAGATTTAATTATCAGGGAAATTATTTGGTTGCCTGAACCATGCACAGTGATTTAAGAAAAGACAGGAGCCTGCAGCGTTGAGGCATTGTGGCCATTCTGCACCAGCTGTTTGCATGTGTCTGGGGCTCCCTCAACCCTCCACTGAGAGGTGCAGCCCTGACCTGTTGTGGCTACTTTCTGACTAGCTCCTAGGTGGGTCTTAGGTCCCCCTTTAGGACATGGACAGTGGTGTTTTACCCGTTTGGTGAGCTGAGTGTCCATCATGAAGTTGTGAACGTGCTTCTCCGCTTTGGTGAGTTCCAGCTTCCGGGCCACCACGGCCACCACCAGGGCAGTGCAGCCAGCACCCTGTGGGGGGCAAGAGGACCGGGGAGAGAGCACATCATTAATGAAGCAGGGCTCACGCATAAGACTCCACATGCCCCGGGCCCACTGAGGGGTTCTGGGAGTGGGGTGGAGACCTGAGCTCTGGCTAGTCAAGGCTAAGTCCCAAAACCCAGCAGGACCCTGATCCCCACACCCACGAAGGTGTTGACCTCTGGGACATGAGCCTTCCTAGAGCTGGCCACTTCCTCATGGAGCAGGGTACTCGATGGGGCTGAGGCTTGGGGTCGTATAAAACACTGAACAATCACTCGGTCACCTGCCAAGCTAAGCAGGGAAGACAGAAAATCCAGCACACATGCGCCCTCTTCCTCACCCACACCCCAGCCCCACCGCCAGTCTAGAGCAGGGTGGGCTGGGGAGGGCAGGAGGAAAGACAGCCAGCCATGCAGTCTGGATGGATCATCTGCTGGGTGGAGGACAGTTTTCCTGAAAAGAATCTAATGAAGAGGCAAAGCATCTCCCCTCCCCCGAGACTGCTTTCCAGGGCAATCCCAGTTGGATAGAGTCTATGTGCTCAATGACTGCGCTTGCTCCTCGGTTGGGTCTTTTCACAGGAGTTCTAGCCTATGACTCAGCACAAGATATCAGTTCCTTCTTACTTTCACCAGGAGGCTCCCAAATTCACCATCTTGCAGAGATTTTAAAGATACCTGCCTCAACCCGGGATTTTAAAGGAATGTGCAGAAGGCACTCAGTATTTTCCAGAGCAGTGTTCCTACTCTGCTCTGGAAGGTCTATTCCAGGGGAGCCCAGGGAGGGTGAATAAAAGAGGCAGGTTCCTGAAGACTCACTTTCTCTCTCCTAACCCTCTGGGCACATGCTTGACTGTCTGAGAAATGAGCAGAAAGGGGCTCATCCCAGTATTCTCCTGAAGGGCCTTGAAGTCCTCTTCATTGTGCGTCTTGACCTGGGGGACAGGGTCGGGGGTGCTGGGGATGGCAAGAGAGAACTGCTCCTGCCCTGCTTCTCCTGCAGGCAGCAGTGATAGCCTACTCTGGCCTGGTTCCTGGAAGAGAGCACATGCCTCTTGGGGACCACTGCCTTTCTCCTGCACGTGGGGCCCTGCACTGCCCTGACCTCTACTCAAGGAAAGATGATGAGCTCAGGAAAGTCAGCAGTCTGACGCTCTAGGTGCCAAACGGTAATTATAGGTGCCACAGAGCTCAGTTTAGCAATTGAAGTCCCAGGATTCAAGGAATCCATCAAGAACCTTTAGGACTCATGCAGTCTAACAGAATGTGTAGGAAGTCACAAAGACTGTTTTCAAAGGTACTATCATCTGTATCAGAGTTGGGCAGCATGCATGTGACAGATCAGTCCCCTACTCTCTCCCTCATAATCGCTTTCTTTCCTTTGCCACAGATTGGCAAAGGCTAGCCGGTGTGAGGTTTTGGCAAAGCTGAAGTTGGCAATGTTTTTCCCTAGCTGTTTTAGAAGGGTTCTCATGAAAACAATCTCCTGTTTCTTGGTACATTTGGTCAGTGACCCATTTCTAGCACAACAAATTGAAAAGAACGGAGTCTGTGCGAACCTTCCTTTTTCTGACCTCATTTTCCTTTCTTGTTCAGGGACAGCCCTGTTTTCTTGGCATCAGTGACTTGCAGGAGACTCTGTGCCCAGTTTTCAAAGGATAGGTATGGGCAGTTGGACAGCCTGGTCTGTAGGTGTCATCAATTGAGCTAGGCTTCTAAAAGCAAAAAATAGCTTAAAAAGCTCTTCTAGCGGGAAGATGTGTGATCCATTTCCCCTCAACCAGACCAAGTATATAATCCCCCTCTTTTGTATGGAGTTCCAAAAGTACTTTGGGCTAAACGCCCAAAAAGAGGGATATATCATAGTGTTAAAAACAGAACATCAGATGTAGAGGGTTCTCCCCTGACTCCAGGCTCCCTCATCTCCCCGGGTCCAGGGAAACTCTACTTAAATCATCCCTGAGAGCTGGGGGAAGAATTAGCCTGAAGGAGTCTCCTTGCTTGTCATGCCACTTGGGAAATTTCATTAAAGCAATCAACCATCCCCAATCCCAAAGTTTCAGGTGCTAGATGGATTGCTCCATGGATCCTGCCATGGCTCACAACCAAGCCAGCTGAATGCAGAGGGGTTCTAAAGAGAAGCTGCTGCTGCTAAGTCGCTTCAGTGGTGTCCGACTCTGTGTGACCCCATAGATGGCAGCCCACCAGGCTCCACCGTCCCTGGGATTCTCCAGGCAAGAACACTGGAGTGGGCAAAGAGAAGCTAGAGTGTTCTAATTAAGGAACCACCTGTCTTATATGATTAAGACACATTTCTGCATGGAGGCAGGAGGTTGGACTAGATGACATTTCTCAGTTTTCTTCAACTTAAAGAGGTCAAGACTTCCTTGTGGATATTTCCCAGAAGGATGCTTTGCTCTTAACCCCTAATTCAACTCGAATAGATAGCAGTAGATACTTTTTCTTTTTTTTTTTTTTCATTTATTTTTATTAGTTGGAGGCTAATTACTTTACATCATTGCAGTGGTTTTTGTCATACATTGAAATGAATTAGCCATGGATTTACATGTATTCCACTTTCAACTTCACTTTTCTTTTAGAAAAATCCGTCATCTGGATGGATTAGGGAAGTAGCCAGTGATGAAACCTAATCTGGTTATTCCCATTAAGAGGCAACCTTGCAAAGATGGAGTCAGACACCAGCAACCTTCAGAAAGTGGTGTGCCAGGTGCTGGAATCCAGACTGGTCCTCTCCTGTGTGTGAGAGAGAGAAAGGAAGAGAGGGAGGGAGGAGGGGAGAGAGAGAAGGAAGAAGGAAGGAAGGGAAGATGTAGAGAGAGAGAGTTGGGGCAGAGACTGAGATAGGCAACAAGTTGTGCTGCCTCCTCAATAGCATGGGACAGAGAGCAGAAGAGGAAAGGAAGAAGTGAAAATAGGAAAGAAAATAGATAGGAGTAGGGAAGAGGGATGGGCTCATGGGAATTGGGTGGAAGACAAGAAGAACAAGGAGCCTAAGACTTGGGTCAGAAGTTAATGGTCAACTTTGGCTCTTTAGAGGAAATGAAGGAAATAAAGACAGCAGGATCCCCTCCCACCTCCTGCTGTCTTTACTTTTAAGTGGTATAATGATTACTTCAGGCTTCCCTGATAGCTCACTCTAGTATTCTTGGGTTTCCCTTGAGGCTCAGCTGGTAAAGAATCCACCTGCTATGCAGGAGACCTGGGTTCGATCTGTGGGTTGGGAAGATCCCTTGGAGAAGGGAAAGGCTACCCACTCCAGTATTCTGGCCTGGAGAATTCCATGGACTGTATAGTCCATGGGGTCGCAAAGAGACACGACTGAGCGGCGACTTTCACTTTCACGTCACTTCACTTTCAATGATTACTTCTGCTTTTTTTGGGGACAAGGGGCCTTTTTACTTAGGTGAGTTTATCAGCCCGATAGGGCCATGTTAACAGTTTAAGAAGGCTCATGTGATGTGGCAGGGATGTGGGTTGATTTTATGAGACAATTGCCAAGGCCTTGGCTGATTTGGGCATGTGAGCACTCCTGCTGTCCTAGCTGTCCTCACGTGGAATCTCAGAAATGGCTGGTGGGCAGAGGGGGAAATCTGAGGCGAGGACAGAGTGGGACCAAAGAGGGTAAGCAGCTGCTGGTGTGACTTCCACTGGATCAGACTGTGGAGCAAATCCATGACTCAGATTTTTGCCTTCAGATGTGCCAAGTCCTGAATCCTGGTCAACACCAACTGGATTCCCTGGATCTTCTCTATCCAACACTATTTCCATGGGAGAGTGGTGGGAGGGGATAGGGTCCTCTAATGAGGTCGTACTTTCCAAGGTACATGGTGAGCAGGAGCGCGGGAGTGAACAGAGAAAGGAGTGGCTGGCCTGGGGTCAACACGCCTAACTCATCCATAGATTTGGACCCAAACCAGAGACCCAGTCTCCTTCACACTGGTCCTCCTACTTCTTGTTTCCAAGAAACATTTTCCAGCTGGAAAACCTTAGACTCTCGAAAAATAAGTATCCCAAGGGGAAGAGTATGAGGTGTTCTTAACTCAAGAAGCATAAAATAAAACAAAACATAAATGAAAGTGACAAATGGAGGAGGGAAGCCTGGAGGATTTACAGTTGGATTCTGTTTCTGCAACAGATTCCATGTAACAACTAAAATAACATCAATTGGTTTGAAACCAAGGTGTTTCAGGGAGAAGCTCATCTTCTAAAACTGACATTAAGCAGATGTCTTGCTGAGCCCTCCTCTTTACCTCCTCCCCAAATGACTCAATTTGTGCCACCTTTTACTTCATCATCCCTTTCCTTTTGCAGTTCAAAGAAGCCTCTTGCATGAAATCTTAGGGGAAAAGCTCAGTGTCCCCAGCACGTATCCTGGAATCTTTTGTCTATCTGTCCCTAACTCCTAAAGGGTCCACAGAGTGGGGCCAGCTCTGTCGTTCGGTGGCTCAGTCGTGTCTGATGCTTTGCAACCCCGTGAACTGCAGCATGCCAGGTTTCCGGCTCCTTCGCCATCACTCAGAGATTGCTCAAACTCGTATCCGTTGAGTCGATGATGCCATCCAATCACCTCATCCTCTGTCGTCCCCTTCTCCTCTTGCCTTCAATCTTTCCCTGCATCAGGGTCTTTCCTGATGAGTCCAGCTTTAGAAAATATATATTGAAATGGGATTCCTACCAATCAGTCTTGGGGTCCCAAAAGTCTTCCAGATGCCTGTAGAACCAGAAAGCCTTCTGAGGCCCATTCTGGATACTAAATATTGTCAGCTTTCTCTCTGCCTTATAACTGTCATCATAAAATTCTTTATGGAAAGATGCTGGACTTTGATATATCTGCTTTAGTGGGTGAAATCTCTCAAACACACCAGGCCTGTGCCAACAATGTCAAGTTGTTCAGACAATTATATACCCTGCTTAATGGTTGATAATTACACCGTTACTGGGATTGCCAAGAGAAAACAATGATTAAGACTATTTACAGCCTGCACACACAAATTCTTCCTTTCCCTTCCCACTAGGCCTTGCCTTGGCCTGCGTGGTGTCCATGGTAACCAAACAGGAAGCCCTACCTTTCGTAAAGGCATTTGCAATAATAATCAGGAGAGGTACAAAGTGTTGGGAGACTGGGGGATGGGAGGAAGGGATTCTCAGCCATGTGAAACCCTGGAAAGGAGTGACTCAGCTAGAAAAGTACCATTTGTAAGAAAAAAAAAAAAAATGCCACCAGGTTTCCCCACTGTGGCTGACCCCAGAGGGAGGCAGCTGATTTTAATTTGGGTAAAAACACAAGTGGAGGGAAGCTCCCTGTCCCTGTGTATAGATAGGTATCTATGCAGCAGGGTTGATGCAGAAAGAGAAGATGAAAGGCAGGTGCTGTATTTTTAATACAGGGGGTGCATATGAGTTCCTCCTCACTCATTTATTCTCTCCACTTTGATCACACCTTTCTCCTCAAGGAACAAACACTTTCTTCCAAGCAGCTGCTGAAGCCCCTGGAGCAAAAGTGGGTGTGAAGACCACACCCCAGGAAAAGGCAGGGAGGGACCAGGGTCTGGCTGGCCCACTGCCCAGCTATGCCGGAGCAGAAGCCCAGAGATGCGGGAGTTAGGAAGCCAGGGAAATGATGGCTCCCAGGCTCTGGCTTCTTGGCCGGGGCATAGCGCCATGCTGAGAGGGAGAATGGTTGGTATTTAAAAATAACGGCGGCTCCCAGCAGGGCCGTTCACCTATCAGCAGCTGGGCTCCGTGCAGGCCAGCCTGAGAGCTGGTTCTGAGGCACATAGCTGGCGCCCCAGGAGCGGCTCTGAGACAGGAAAGCTTTGGTCTTCGGGCGGCATTTCATTCTTTTCTGGGAGGAAGACTCATTCCCTGGTTTCCTGGTGACAGCTGGAGCTGTGCCAGGCAGACTCCTACCAACCAACGAGAGGTATTTGTTCTGAGCCCTTACACTTACCCATGGTTTATCCCAAGCCCGGCGCTAAGCCTCCTGTCATTAACTCCTGCCCAGGACCCGCTAATAAGTGCCTGCCTTGGGTTTCAGTCAGAAAAGGAGAGGACGGCGTCCAGTCCTGACGCGGCAGCGCCGGAGCCCTCCTGCCCCGCGGCCCAGGCCTCTGACCCCACGGCCTCCGCTGCTCTGAGCAGCTGGCTGCTGTCAGTCCCAGGAGGCCTCCAGGCTAGTGAGCAGCTAAACCCCTGCCCACTGAGGGATGGAGTCATTTCCCTTCCAGAAGGAGGGTCTTTTGTTTCCTCCTGGAGAAATGGGGGTGATGGCTGAAATTTGAGGGAGCCCTGGAAGGATTTTGATGACAGGGGTGCAGAGAGGACTCCTTGGGGTGGGCTGCCGTGACCCACCAGTGAGACCTAGGAATAAGCCTCGGGCCTCCTGTCCCCACCCCACCCCCATCCCCACCAACACCTCCCCACCCCGCTCCAACACACAGCCTCAGATTCCTGCATCTTCTCTGACCCTGAGTTTCCTCTTCTGAAAAGAGGACCCTGCGTGTTTACCCTGTGCTCTGGGAAGGAGGTCAAAAGGCCCGGTTGTCTGTCCTGGTCAGAAAGCCAGGAGAGCAGCGAGAAGCCCTCATGCCAACCGGCCGCTGGAGGAGCAGTGGGGGTAGGGACGCTGAGCACTTGCCAGCCCTGAAGGCGGGTGCAGCTCCCTGTTGCTGACAGAGCGTGGTAACATAAAGCACTGCAGTCTATCCCCATCACCAGCCAGGGAGCAGGGCGGAGCAGGCCTCCCATCTGCACTTTGTACTGGAGAATGCTGAGGTCCAGTAGGCTAAGTGCCCTGCCTGGGTCCACACTGAGGTCCAGCGATGGGCATTCAGACTCTGGTCTGAAACTCCCTACCCACTGCCCTCCCATACTCCATGCTGTGCGGCCATGTGATGGGCACGAGTGTGTGTCAGGCTGGGGATGGCAGGGCGATGGGGCAGAAAAATACACCTTGGGAGGAGGCAGCACAGCTGCTGGGCACCTGGGGAGGGATGGGGATGCTGTCACAGGCTAGCCGGGTGCCAGCACTGGGAAGGAAGCGGCACTCGGAGCCCAGCGCCTCAACAGTTAGACACAGAGGCCAAGAGTTGGCCCAGGGCCATGTCATCAAACCGGGACTGAACCAGTGGCCAACCCAGGCTAGGACCTAGGTCTCTCATGGTCGGCTCGGAGCACTTGCCACCGTGAGTTCTAGCTATACTTTATCAGACGTGGCGCCAAGGTCTGTGGGGCCCATGGGACAGGAAAAAGGACAATTAACTGCAGGCGCTGATGGGAGTGGAGGGTAATACTCGTGGCCAGCTTCACCCAGCCCATTTCTAGGGGTCTGTGAGGAGACTGTTAACTGTTCAGGAACCAAGACCTCTTCCCATCTCAGACAAGGAAATGAAAAAGCGAAAAGCCGTACAGATGTCACATCTGTCTTTCTACGTGCACAGACACACATGCTGGCCCGTTAACTAGCAGCTGGCCCCGCGCCCAGACAAGGAAGGCCCCCTGCGCCTGCCATAAAGGGATTGCTCCTAGCGGCGTTCTGCGGGTGGGGAAGGGTAATGGGCGGCGGCAGGTACTCACCATGATGCCCGTGAGCAGACAGACACCTTTCCCACAGTACGTGTGGGGCACCATGTCCCCATAACCAATGGAAAGGAATGTGATAGAGATGAGCCACATGGCGCCCAGAAAGTTACTAGTTACATCCTGCTGGTCATGGTACCTGCCGGGGGAGGGGGGGAAGACAGGAGTTAGTCAGTGCAGCTGCCATTCCGGGGTTCTGGGGACGTCTGGACAAAGAAGGACATTTTGCTGAGGCAGACAGAGCAGTGATAGCGGCACCCAGATCTCTCCAGGAGATGGAAGGTGCTGAGGCTCTGCCCACCCAGGTCCTGCCTGCAGCTGTCTGTCCATCCCCCCTCCCAACCCCCCACCACGAGCTTGGTCCTGGCGGTAAAATGTTTTGTCATGATTTGCACCATATTGCAGACGTCCTTTTTAGTAAAATAGCTTTGGATGAAATCATGCAGTAATAAAATTTAGATTTTCCCTTCCAAGCTGACAGTCTAAATGTATGTGGATGTGATTAATCTGAAATCACAAGCTCCTGAACAGGGAAAATGTCAAAAAAATCACCAAATGCATTTAGCAATTTCCCGTAAGAAGGTTGATGGAGCCCAAAGACTGGCACCTCCCTGGTGTCTGGAGGGAGGCTGCGGCAGCTAGGGTTCTCTCGGACCTGTTTCCAGGGAAGTTTCCAGAGTCTCCACGGAGGCATGGCCTCCTCTTCTGAGCTGGATGGAGGCTTGTGGCTGTCCTGCCCCGGGAGGAACTAGCTGGAAACATATCCCTCTGCCCGATACCCATTCCACCCCATCCCTCACCTCCCTCCCTTCATCCCCAAACACCAAGGCCCACTGTGTGCCAGGCTCTGTGTCAAGTACTGAAACAGAAAGATGAACAGGATATAGGCTCTGCCCTCAGGCTTCTCAGCCCAGGGGAAGGGCCCATTTTAAGCATGTAGACATTTGAGGAAGAGTAAGGACGAGGCACCTGGAGGGCCAGAGGGAACGGCCAATGACCTTGACCCCAATGTAGGAGGGTCGGTCAGAGGCTGGCGCTTTCCAGGCAGACCGGGGGAAGGGTGTTCTGGGCAGAGGGAATAGTACATTTACGAAAAGCTAAGGCCCAACGTGAGTGTAGCAGGTAGGCCTGGCTGCACCTGTGGTGGCAGGGCAGATGAATGAAGGTGGGTGTTTTTCTCAAAATGTTCTCTAACAGAATAAGCCTGAATGACACAGACATCACTCGTGGATAAACTCTTACCATCAGCCTCTTGGAGGCCACTGGATGGGAAAAGTGGGATATGGCCAGGAGACCAAACCATCCTGGTTGGATAGAGCCGAAAGTCATTTAGGAGCCTTAACCCACAGAACTGAGTTACCAACAAGGCTACATGACAAGCGTGGGGCGGGGCTGAGTACAGGAGACCCTCAGAGAGTATTCGCTGCCACTGTCAGCACTCTCCACGTCCCCCACATGGCCTGGCGCCCAGTGGGCAACTGGCAAATGTTCTTCTTTCCCTTACCCCCACCCCAAGTCAGGTGTGCTGGAAAGGCTGCAGATACAGATGCATCTGGAGATGAGCCTAAAAGCCGGGAGAAGCCTGACAGTGAGAGAGGAGGTGGAGGGCATGTGAGTGGTGAAAGCCAAGGGCACAGTAATATGGATTTCATTTATTGACTCATGGGGCTTCCCAGGTGGCGCTAGTGGTAAAGAACCTGCCTCCCAATGCAGGAGACGTAGGAGACGCAACTCCGATCCCTGGGTCGGGAAGGTCCTCTGGAGGAGGACATGGCAACCCACTTTGGTATCCTTGCCTGGAAAATTCTATGGACAGAGGAGCCTGGCAGGCTACAGTCCATGAGGTTGCAAAGAGTTGGCTGAAGCTACTTAGCACATTTATTGACTCACACTGTATTAGTGGGAGCCACACAGTACAACCTACCCTGTGGCTAGTATTTTGTATACAAACACTCTAATTCTCACAACATCTTGTAATGTATTTTTACAGGTAAGCAACTGGAAGCATAGAGACATTGAGTGACTTGCCCCAAAACACACAGGACGTAACCAAAGTAAAGCCCATGCTCTTTTCACTCTTCCCTCAGCACCAGAGAGGTGGAAACGACTGCTGTGTGAGTGGGGAATGACAAGGAAGTTTTAGCAACACGAGGACACCGGGGCCCCAGTAGCAGGTGATGAGGTGACCGTGGAGACAAAGGGTCTAATTTGGGAAGGCCTTGAATTCCAGGGTAAGAGGCTTGGATTTGGTCTTAGAGGCCTTGGAAATGATTCCATGTCCTTGAGCAGACGAATGACAAGATGACATGGCCCACTGGGATGAGTGGTCTGTGGGTGGTGAACAGGACATTTAAAAAGATGCAGCCCTGGGGTGGACTAGCCAGGTGGGGAGCAAATGGCAAAGCGAGGATGGAGGTGCAAGCAGCAGCCTTCATTGCACACCTGAGCCTGGCCCGAGCAGACCCCGGTGAGCACATTATTAGGGGGCTGTTCAGCCCCAACTTGAGGCCTCTACCAGCAGTCAGAGGAGGGTGATTTTAGCCTTTCACAGCTGTGCGCATGAGAGCATGCCCAGAACTCCAGGGGGATACCTGAAGAGCAGACATCCCCTCCCCAAAGCTCAGCTGAGAAGATGCTTCCCCTCCCCTCCCCCACCTGCTCTGTGGGCTCCCCAGTGACACTCTGCTGCTTTCCTAAGGGCGCCCTGGATGCCTCCTCCTCCCAGTTGGCCTCATCTCCCCAGGGCTGGGCCTGTGTCTGCTCACCTGGCTATACGGGAGTAGCATAGGCTGATGGTGTCCAAATCTGATCCCCAAGATGGAGTGTGGCCTGCCCCAGTGCTCCAGCCCCATCCCACGTCTGACGTGGCCTTGGACGGGCAGCCACTCTTTCCCTCCCATTCCCCAGAGCCCTGGGGCTCTGCCAGGCCCTCCGGCTGATGTAGTCCCCTCCACTCACAGCCTGCTGCTCTTTGGCTGGGAAGAACGGTGGCGACCCTGGCTGTCAGGGCCTGTGCTGAGGTGTTGGTGGGGACTCCTTCCTTCCAGGGATGCACTTTGGAGGCTGTGAGGTGGCAAGACTCAGTGACAGATTGAATGTAGGGGCATAGAAGGGTGAAGACTTAAAGATGGCTTCATGCCACAAGCCAGCAACGTGCAAACAGGTTGCAGAGTCAGAGTCTTCCATTCATTAGACATTTCCTGGAAGGGGTCAGGTCTGAGGATGGTGACATCAAGGCAGTGCGTAGAAGGGAGGTGAGCCGGTGGTCTTTTTTTTTTTTTTTTTTCATTTATTTTTTTAGTTGGAGGCTAATTACTTTACATCATTGCAGTGGTTTTGTCATACATTGAAATGAATTAGCCATGGATTTACATGTATTCCCCATCCCGGTCCCCCCTCCCACCTCCCTCTCCACACGATCCCTCTGGGTCTTCCCAGTGCACCAGGCCCGAGCACTTGTCTCATGCACCCAACCTGGGCTGGTGATCTGTTTCACCCTAGATAATATACGTGTTTCGATGCTGTTCTCTTGAAACATCCCACCCTCGCCTTCTCCCAGAGTCCACAAGTCTGTTCTATACATCGGTGGTCTTGAGATTAGCTCGCCTGGCTTCAAGCCCCAGCTCTACCTTAAGTAGCTCAATGGCTGTGGGCAAATGACTTAACCTCTCTGTGACCTAGTTTCTTTATCTGCTGATGGGAGGATTAAGGAAAACAACCCTCCAGCAATATTAGCACAATGCCCAGCTCAGACTAAGTGCACACTAAATGTCAGCAATTACTGTTATTGCTAAGAATGGTTAAGTGTTATCAGTCTGAAAAAAAATGTACAGAAAAATACAGTGGCAGGGAATTACAAGTGCAGTGGATGGAGGGTCCCAGTAAGGGAGAAGTAGATGAAGGGAGGGATGAAGATGAAGGGAGGGATGAAGATGTCTTGGTATTTGGGCTGGAGAACTATCTGATGCAGGGATGAAAGAAATCTGTCAGTTCCAGGACAAAGAAGGGATATGGGACGCTTGGTATCTGAGAATGATTCTAGCAGCTACATGCAAGGCTGATTAAAGAAGGCAGGCCCCAGACAGGGAGTTTGCAGGTGCCCAGGGAGAGGCAACGGAGAAACTTGAAAGCCAAACCATGGGGTCTGGACTTAATTTGCCGCCTGTCCTTTGTGGACTTAATTGGCTGATTGATTTATGGGCTGTGCATGTGGGTTTCCAAAGGACTCCTTTCTTTGCTTAAACTAGTGTTCCCAAGCCGCTCCGCTGCCCTCAGGACCGTGGCCCATCCCATTCATATGTGGGTGGACTCCGAGGTAAAGAGATTAGACCTCAAAGTGGAATTAAATAACAGCAAACAGTCATCTGTCTCTCTTTTTAAAGTTGAGGTTTGATTTCCTGCTTTATTTTTCTCTAAATTCTCTTTATGTTCTTGTGGGTTTCTTTTTCATTCACCATTTAAAATCCTCTGGTGTTAACTATGCATGCTGAGAAGAGGAAAGGGATATCTTGAGGATGTTATTCATTAATTGTTTGTCCAACTTGGAAGATCTCCCTCCTGACAGGGGCTTTAGAAGATATGAACTGGACATGCATCCTACTTTCCTGTGGCTTGGAGCATTGTCATGGAGATAAAACACACAGGCAAGTCACCAAGCAGGAAGCGATGAGTGAGAGAGCCGGGCTGCTGATTCAGGACTGTGGGAGTGGAGAGGAGGGAGAAATTGTTTCCAAATCTATTCACAATTTTAGAGTGGTTTACACTTGTCACAAATTCACATACTAATCTCATGATATTTTTTGCGATAGAGAATTTTTTTGAGAAAAGAGTCCCAAGTTTTTCCTTAAGGGCTAAAGAGGAAAGGCTGTGGGCATGTTTTTAGGGTTAGTATAGTTATTAATTTATCATTAGAGTGTGGACTATGGTTTTTTCATTTTTAATATTTTGAAATAAATGATAGATATGGAAGATTGTATGACTGGGTAAAGATGGTAGATGCTATTTTTGCTTCCTCCTCATACCCCTGGGGGCTTCCCTCAGCTGGTAAAGAATCCACCTGCAATGCAGAAGATCTCAGTTCGATTCCTGGGTTGGGAAGGTCCCCTGGAGGAGGGATAGGCTACCCACTCCAGTATTTTG